CCCCAAAAACCCCGCACCCCTGCGCATGCGCGGTCCGCCCAAAGCACCTCAGTGACGTCACGCCACGCCCTGCCACGCCCACCGGAACAACACGTGGCTGTCGCGCACGCTTTTTTCTTTGACCACGCCCATTTACGCGTCATCAGGGCGTGGCCACTGGCCCCGCCTTCCCGGGTCGGCACATGCGCTCTGAGTGATGGGCGTGCCAGGGCGTGGCTCCGTAGGTCCCGCCCATCTGCCGTGTGACGTTGTCCTGGGGTAGCTGAGCATTTGTATTCCTTGTGTTAGAAAAAAAGTAAACAATAACCATACACTGGTTGAGACTGCTCTGGTTTGTTTTGTGATGTTCCTCCCTTCAAGGACAATGGGAGGGAAAGGTACAAGTTACACACATTCCTGGAGGAGTCTCGGGCTCAGCGGCGGGGAAGAAGCTGCCTGCTCTCTGGGACTGCTCCTTTTTTCTTTTCTTCCCTCTTCTTTGGACTTGTGTTTTCCTCGATTTTTTTTTTCTTCATCATCCGAGAATTAGAAGATTCCCGTGGCACGACAAGAGAGATCCTCCAATGAACCACCGGAGCGACTCTGTCCAACCCCTCCGGGGGCCCCGGAGGGGAAGCTTTTCCCAGGAGGGAAAAGAAAGTCTTTAAGATCCAACAGCTGGTCCCACAGGTTGTTTTTTTTTTTTTGTTGTTTTATAATTTTCTTTTTTTCCCCTCTCTTCTTTGTGGACATATTATTTTGTTGCTGTTGCTTTGTTAAATAAATAATTTTTATTTGTTTTTCTTTTCACTTTCCTCTCTGTGGAAAAGTTTGTCCCTAGGACCTGGGTGGGGAAAGGAGGGGGTTTTTGCTGAAACTTTGGAGCGTTCGCCCCAATTAAATTAATTAAAAGCGTGACAGACGCAGTGCTCCGCGAGATGGGCGCGGCCTAAATAAACCACGCCCATTTCATATAATGAATGGGCGGGGCGCGTGTGTGGCCACGCCCACCTCTGTTCCCGCGCCGGGAGAGGGGCGCCCCCTGGCGGGGGGCTCTGAGGGCGGGAACCCTGAGGGGAAGGGGTTCCTGAAGGGCGTCTTTGAGGAGAGTGGGTCCGTGAGGGAAGGGGTCTGTAAGGGAAAAGGGGGTCCTGAAGGGCGTCTTTGAGGAGAGTGGGTCCGTCAGGGAAGGGTTATGTAAGGGAAAGGGGGTTCTGAAGGGGGTCTCTGAGGGAGAGGGGGTCTGTAAGGGAAAGGGGGTCCTGAAGTGGGTCTCTGACTGAGGGGGTCCGTGAGGGAAGGGATCTGTAAGGGATGGAGGTCTTGAAAGGGGGTTCTTTGAAGTATGGGGTCCCTGAGGGAAGGGGTTTCTGAGCAGGGAAGTCTATGGGGTCTCTGAAGGGGTCTCTGAGGAAGGGGTCTCTGAGGAAGGGGTCCCGAGGGCTTGTTCCTCTCACGGGGGTGTTCCCGAGGGGCTGTGGACGAGCCTGGGACCTGTTTTCGGGGTGGGGGAGTCTGAGGAGATGCTGCTCTCAGTGGGGAAGGGGCTTCTCTCTCCTCTGGGTGCCCTGGGATGGGGGGAGTTGGGCTGTGTGGGGAGGGCTGGAAATGAGCCCCGTCAGGGTGCCTCTTTTTCCAGGGAAGCCCCTTGGGGGTGGGGACACTTTGTGGTGGCTTTGGGACGCCTGGGAGGGGCGCTGTGGTTTAAAATGACTTTAAAAAGCCTTTAAAATGCCTTAAAAATACCTTTGAAATGCCTTAAAAACTAGCTTAAACCCCCTTTTATGCCGTGACCTAGTTAAAAACCCCTTTAATGCCATTTTGCGGCGGCGCAAAATGGCGGCCGGCGGCCGGACTACAACTCCCGTGATGCTCCGAGGCGAGAAACTACGATTCCTGTCGTTCCTCGCGCGGCAGTGGGCGTGGCTTTGCGGTTCCCCTATAAATACCCCCCGCCGGGCGGCGCACGCCCCTCTCGGCTGCCGCCATCTTGAGGCCTTTCCCCGGCCGCCGCTTCCATCCGCCGGCATCCGCCTCCATCCGCCGCCTCCCGCCCGCCGGGACTGAGCGGGGCGCCGCCGCAMCGCCATGAGGGCCAAGGTGAGCGGCGGGGAATGGCGGGTGGCGGTGCGGAGGCGGCCGATGGCGCCTTAGCAACGACCGGGCCTAGATGGGGGAAGGGGGGCGGCCTGCGGCCCTGTGGGCCTGGGCGGTTAACGGTGGGGCGAACCGGGGAACCGGGGGGTGAACCGGGAACGGGAGGGTCTTTGGGGGGTGTTTGCTGGGAGGAACCTGTGGGGGAGACTGGGAGGACTGCGAGAGAGAAGCCAGTGTGGGACTGGGGCAACTGGAAGCATCGGGAGAGGGAAACCAGTGTGGGACTGGGAGTACTGGGAGAGGGAAACCAGTGCGGGACTGGGAGCACTGGGAGAACCAAATCAGTGTGGGACTGGGAGCACTGGGAGAACAAAACCAGTGCGGGACTGGGAATACTGGGAGAGCTGAACCAGTGTGGGACTGGGGGCGCTGGGAGAGGAAAACCAGTGTGGGACTGGGGGCGCTGGGAGAGAGAAACCATTCTGGGATTGGGGTTACCGGGAGAGGGAAACCAGTGTGGTACTGAGGGGGACTGGGAGAGGGAAACCAGGGTGGGACTGGGAGCACTGGGAGAGGGAAACCAGTGCGGGACTGGGAGCGCTGGGAGAAGGAAACCAGTGCGGGACTGGGGGGCACTGGGGGAACCAAACCAATGTGGGACTGGGAGTATTGGGAGAACAAAACCAGTGTGCAACTGGGGGTACTGGGAGAGAGAAACCATTCTGGGATTGGGGTTACCGGGAGAGGAAAACCAGTGTGGGACTGGGGGTACAGGGAGAGAGAAACCAGTCTGGTACTGGGAGCATTGGGAGAGGGAAACCAGTTTGGGATTGGGGTTACTAGGAGAGACAAATCCCTATGGAATTGGGGGGACTGGTAGGGATTTGGGGACACTGGGAGGGACAAACCAGTTAGGGACTGGGAACACTGGGAGAGGGAAACTAGTATGGGACTGGGGGCACTGGGAGAACTGAACCAGTGTGGGACTGGGAGTACTGGGAGCGGGTAATTGGGGACTGGGTAAAACAATTTTGGACTGGGAAAAATTTTGGACCAATTTTGGACTGGGAAAAACACATCAGTGTGGGACTGGGGGGTACTGGTGGCACTGGGATGGGGTCCCGGTGGTTCCCGGTGGGCACTGGTGGCACCGGTGACACCGGGATGGGGTCCCGGTCCCGGCACTAACGCCGTTCCTCTGTCCCGCAGTGGCGCAAGAAGCGAATGCGCAGGTACGTGAGACCCTCCCGGGGCTCGGGCCGGTCCCGCCTCACCGGGAGGGGCACCGGGGGTTGGGGGAGGCCCTGCCCGGTGCTCTCCCGGTCCCCGGTGCTCTCCCGGTCCCCGGTGCCCTCCCGGCCCGGCCCCGGGGGTGACACCGCCGCCGCCGCCGCTCTGTCCCCAGGCTGAAGCGCAAGAGAAGAAAGATGAGGCAGAGGTCCAAGTAACCGCCCCCACCGGGGACGCGGCGCGGGGCCGTCCCGGTGATGTCCCGGTGATGCCCCGGTGCCCTCCCGGTCCCGCCGTGCCGGCCCGGTTCTTCGCTTAGCGGCGGCCGCGGTGCCGTGAATAAAAGTTGATTGTTGCTTACACGGTGTGAGAGTTCCGGGGGCGGGGGGGCTGCGCCGGTAACCGGGGAGGGGCTCCGGGGGTGGGGGGGGCTCCTCCGGTAACGGGGATGGGGGATGGAACTGGGTGGGTCGCACCGGTAACGGGACAGGACTGGGACCGGGGGATTTTCGGGAACCGGAGACCATCAGAACCGACAGTTCCTCTTTATTGGGCCTGGGAGAGGCACCGGGAGTCCTCCGGTAACGGGGCGGGGGGCGGGGTGAGGAATTCTCCGGTAATGGGACAGGTGGGAGGTCCAAGGAGGGGATTCCGCCCGGTAACGGGGCAGGTTTGGGACCGTGCTGAGGAATCCCCCGGTAACGGGGCAGGTTCGGCACCAGGCTGAGGAATCTCCCGGTAACGGGGCGGGGGATACCGGGGTTTGGAATCTCCCGGTAACGGGGCAGGTTCGGGACCGGGCTGAGTTATCTCCCGGTAACGGGGCGGGTTTGAGACCGAGGTTTGGAATCTCCCGGTAACGGAGCAGGTTCAGGACCGAGCTGAGGATTCCGCCGGTACCGGGGCAGATTCGGCACCGGGACGAGGAATCTCCCGGTAACGGGGCGGGCGATACCGGGGTTTGGAATCCCCCAGTACCGGGGTCGTACCGGGACGTTCCGGTATCACCCACGCGGAGCCCGGCGGTGGCGTCTCCCGCGTGTGACGTCACAGTGACGCAGTTCCGGCGCGCCGCGCGCTCCCGTTGCCGCGCGGTTCCTTCCGGGCCGCCCCGGAAGCGGCGCTGAGCGGGTCCCGCCCGCCGCCGGCACCGGCCGCGCGTCGTTGGCGCCGGAGGCCCCGCGGGGAGGCCGCGAGCCGGTGAGTGCGGGACCGGGCCCGGGGCCTCTCCCGGGGCTGGCGCGGGGCGCGGGTTCCGCTCGGTGCGGCCGCCGGGAGAACACCGGGGGTTGTGGCGGGGGCTCCCGGGCCGTGCTGTGCCCGCAGCGCTCCCGTGACGGGGTTTTCCCCTTCATTCCCGTTCCATCAGTACCGGGGTCACCCCGTCCGTGCCTCTCTTCATCCTCCGGTACCGGCATCACTCCCGGTCCGTCTCCCGGTGCTCCGGGGTGGTTGAATCCTCCGCGTCCCTCCGGTCC